CTTAGAGGGCCCGGCTGGCTCTTCTGTCTTCTGCATAACCGAACCCTGGAAGGATCAAGGCGACCTGAGCTGCCTAAGCCCCGTGCTGCCAACTGCCTGGGGCTCCCTGGTCTTCCCGGTGCCCTGGGGCCCCTGTGAGCTGTCCACCTCGCCGGGCTTTGGCCAGGTTTGGCCGCAAGGTGGCGCGTGGAGGCTGCAGCACCGCGCCCGGGGCGGGTCTCCCGCCGTAGCGCGAACTAGCGCGGGTCAGACCAGCCGGCTCTGGTCCAAGAGTGGGCGTTGGTACCAGTGTATCCAGAGACCGCTGGGTGGGAGCCTAGTTAACCTCCTTGGGCCTGCCTGGACCTCTGGGGAATCTTTGAGCAGCGGAATAAGGCTCAGCTGCCTCAGCTCATTAAGGCTGCAGTTAGTTATTAACTCGTTTTACAGATGAGGAAACTGAGGCCGAGAGAAAGAAGTCATGCACTGGGGTGATTCCTGGGCTCAGACTCGGATCGATTTAGCTCTGCACCCTGTTTTCCCCCACGGAGTGTAGCGGAGCTTCCCTGTGGGCAGAGGGGATTTTAATTGTAGTGAGAGGTGGGGAATTAAAGGTGGATGCGGGGGTGAGTTCACAAACCAAGGAGAAACTGCCACTCTAGGGTAGGGATGGGACAGGGTTAGTGGACAAAGGTCCACCCAGGGCTTTAGTCTCCTCTCTGATCCCTGAGGACCTTGAGGTACTGGAACTTCCTCTGGGTTGGACACTCAGTGTGTGACCCCTCCTCCCCTCGCCCCCGTCCCTGTTGACAATGTGGACCCGCCCCTCCCCCAGTCGCGTAGATTCAAAGCAGAGCTCAGGACCGCTTGCGCTGGGTCCACGGTTAGTGAATTGGGCCACGGAAACCCCGGCAGACCAGGGACTCGCTGCATCAAAGTATCTCGAGCAAGGCATCCTGTCCCCACCGAATGTGGGGCGGGGGAGGGAATGAAGGAGGTATTGTTTTGTATTGGGGTGTCACTAGATGACCTAGCGTGTGGGTTCAGGTCCCCTGAAGAACTGCTTGTCTGCACCCAACCAATGCTCCCCTCTCCAGCTTAGAGGATGTAGCGAACTCCTGGTACAGCTATAGACTGTAAGGTAGACAAGAAGGAGGACTTGCCAACAGAGAGTGAGGAACGCTTGCTTAGAGTTACCAGTTAGTAGAACCGGACTGCCTTAGATTGCAGTGAGGTTTCTGGAGTTGCCAACAGCAGAGGCCAAGTGGAGACATGGAAAGGACCCGTTTGGGTGTGCGTGTGTGTGTGTGCGCGTGTGTGTGTCGGGAGGGGGGGTGTGATGGTGGTGGTGAGCTTAGGCTAGGTGCCTGGATTTTATTCTGTGGGTGGCAGGGTGGGACAGAGGAAACAGAGAGGGGACACGGGGAAAGTGGAGCCACCGGGGTCGCCAGGATTGGGTGGTCGAATGTGGGGAGGGGCTGCCTTGGTTTCATCGGGGAAGGAGCAGGTTGGAGGGGGGCAAAAGGGAGGGGGAGGATCCTGTAGGGTGGGCACCGCTGGGGACTTGGCAAAGAGAAGCTGGCCTCACCTGGTGAGAAGAGAGCCCTGATTCTGACCCGCCGCTCCAAACAGACAGGTCTCCAAGGAGGCTGGCGGGGCGGGGACAGGGTGTGCGCAGAGTCTGCCCCCCGCGGGGCCGGCGTCTGGGGGTGGGGGGAAAGGCGGGTGGATCCGCCCCTGAGCCCTCGGGAGGTGGAGCAGCGGGAGGCGGGGCGGCGGGGCGGGGCCCGGCCTCTGTCCACCGCATTAGTGCTGGTTGGAGGGCGAGGGGGCCGCGGAGCCAGCCAGGCCACCAGTTCCCACAGGCGGGCAGAGCAAGGCTGCCATGACGCTAGCCAGGCCTGTGACCTGGCACTCCAGACCCCTGGGTCCCATCCTGCTCCTTCTGCTGCCCTGGGCCCCTAGCCTGTGCCTCCTGACTGGTGAGTGGGGTGGGGGGGCAAGCGTGTGTGTGTGAGTGTGTGTGTGTGTGTGTGGGGGGGTGTTGGGGGCTTTATTTCCCCCAGGCTTGGCTGTTCAGGGGCCGAGGAGGGCCTCTGGTACACGTGAGTGCCGGGTCCAAGTTGTAGGGCGCGGAGGTGTGCAGTGCCTGAGACCACTGGACCATGGTGGGGTGGGGGTTCGGGGGAGTGAGTGTGTTCCCGGACTTGGGAAGTTTCATGTTGAGGAGGTTTTGCAAGTGGTGGGGTGGGGGGAATCAGGGCTGGGTGTGATTGGAGGGGAAGTGCTGTGAATCGTGGTGCGGGGTGTCCCATTAGGAAGGAGCTGTGGGACTTGGGGAGGACGCCTGGCTGAGTCTGGGGAGTTGCAGGGAGTATCGGCCTCACCCCAGAGTGTTGTGCTGGGTTGAGGGGTGCAGGTGGGGTGTGAGAGCTGTGAGAAGTGACTGAGTGTGGCGAGCTGGTTCCAGCACTCGCTGTTGTTGGGCGTAAGTTCTCCAGAGAGTTGAACTGAGACTCTGTTGGCAAGGTTGGGGTTCTGGCAGGGGCAGCAGACCCAGCTTAGTGGATTGGGATGGAGAAGGGGGAGGGAGATACAGGGGAGCAGGGTGCTTGCCTGCACCAACTCTATTGTGTCCCCTGCCTGCACTTGGTGATGGTGGTGGTGGGGCCCTGGTACTGCTCTGGGCCCCTGGGGTGGGGGGCTGAGCACTTGGGAACACGTGTGTGGCCCTGCTTTCCCCTCCCTGGCATTCCCAGATCAAGCGGGAAGGGCTCTCTGAAGTCAGACCTCCATCTGCCAAGGGGTTTTTGCTTTTGTTCACGCACATTCTCCCACGGACTCTGGAATTCCTGCTGGGGGGTCTAGAGGGACACTTTGTCTTGGTCACTATAGCTACAGAGCCAGGCCTGGGAAGTCCCCCACCCGGGCCACTACTGCTGCAGGAGGGAGCCAAAGAGGACCTGGCCTGGGCTCCCCTGTAGTGGGGAGCCAAGCCCTGCCTCCTGGCCTCCACCTCTGGCCCAGGGCCTCTCCTGTAGCCTGTGCTCACAAAGCCTTTGTCCCCATTTTGTAGGGAAGGACACCAAGGCTCAGGGAGGGACGGGGACTTAGGAGCTGGGTCCCAGAGGCAGTTGGGTTTGTGAGCTGGAGTCTGCTTCCCTGCTCTCTGCACATGGAGGTTACGAAGTCCTGGCCTGTGGTCTGTGGTCCAGGGGTTGGTCTGTGTGCACACTCCCACACACAGATGCCTACACATACACATATGTATACCCCGGTGCACCTGTGTGGTGTGCACTAGGGTGCACACTGCCGAATTGCAGATGTCTACAGGCTCATGTCACTCCCCCCACATACTTACAAGTATACAGTGGTGCCTGCACACACAGATGTGCCACCCCATGTGTGTCTACACTCAGATGGACATGCATGTGGACCGTGAGGTGGACTCAGTACAAAACTGATTGATGCCATAGAAGGGAGTTCATGCCGACTTGTACAGTCACCCCACAGCCCTTCCTCCTGGACTTGTGTACAGGGAGCCCTATCCCTGGGGATTCCCAAGGCTGGAGCAGGGGCACTGCAGGCTTGACCATGCCTGGACATCACTATCCAAATCCTGGCTGCTGGGATTGAAGGCCAAGGTACTGGGTCACTTGAACACTAGTTTGCATCCCTCAGGAGGTGGGAGGTTCAGGAGGCCCTGAGTTGGGCCCCTCCATCCTGGGCTGCTCTGGTGCTGGTTGCTATGGTGAAGTGGAAGCATCTTGGAGTACAATGGGGCAGTTGGGCTCTCACCACCCCCCTTCTCCAAACATCCAGGGAGTCCAGCGCACAAAGGGACAGCCAGTCCAGTCCTCAAATCTGGCCTCTCCTCCAATCAGAGGGGTGGGGGCAGAGGCAGGGATCGGGCGGGAAGCCACACATGGTCAGCCCGGCCCTGTCAGCCCAGCCCGGGATCTTCTGGATAGTTGGTGTGGCCTCTGTAAAGGTGATGAGTGACTCACATCAGCCGCTATGGTAAGCTACATGGCAAGCATTGTCCTAGTGGGCTAACAGGATCGGATTTAATCCTCTCAACAGCTTGTGAGGCTGCCTGTGATAGTCCTGTTTACAGAGGTGGTAAAAGAGGCCCCGAGAGGGTTAGTAACTTGCCCAAAGTCACAGTGTGTGGCAGGGTCAGGATTTCAGAGCAGACGGTGGAAGTTGCTTATGTAAAGTCACATCTTTGTGCCCCTGTAAAATGAGGACAACCTCACTTCAAGGGCCGGTACGAGAATTTGATGCAATAGCATAACGGTTCTCCAATGTAGGTTTTGTCACGGAACCCTCAAGTTCAAAGGAAACTTAGGACAGAAGCCCATTAAAAGTTACTGGTGAAACAGTTCAATGTGGCCTTCACCGGTGGCAGGTCTGGATGCCAGTGCTGGCCTCTGGGTGGACTCTGGGAGAATTGCTACTCTTCCCAGGCTGGTTGCCCCTCTCTGGTGCTGTGGATTCAACAAGGGCCTTGTGCATGCCAGGCAAGGGCACTACCACCTGAGCTATGCCCCAGTCCCAGGATCTCTGGAGACTCTGGTTGGAAGGTGAGGCCAGGGGAATGTAGGAAAATGACAATTTCACACGCACTGGCAGATACAGACCTCTCAGGAATCTGCAGGTTTCTTACCCTCTTTATGTTAGAAAAGCAGAAGTTTTCTTCATAGCACCCCCTTTTCTGGTTTGAGCCAAATATACCAATGTAGTAGTGGCACACGGCCCAAGCATGTAGTGTGCACTTAGTAAATGGACATGTCCTTCCTGTCCTCTCTGGCCAGGGCACACAGGGCTCAGGTCGAAGAGGAGGAAGGGTGTCCGTTAATCTTGTCCTCTGCGGGTCAGCCCAGGCAGCCCTAGGGTCAGGAGGGATTTGTCAAGATAAGCACAGGCCCCTCGTTGTCCTGGTAACAGGCCCCTCCTCTCCAGCCAGGCCCTTCCCCTGCCTTCCAGCTGCCCTTCTCTCTGCCTGGGCTGGCCTGGCCTTCTGGGCTCACTCCTGGAAGGCAGAGGTCCACCTGGAGGTTGCAGCTCCCACTCCTCAAGGAATCCCCAGGGAGCCGGGTATAATGAGGGTCTCAGGCCGCAGGCCCAATGGTTTTCAGTTTCTGGGTCTGGAATGGAACCCAGGAATCTGTGTTCTTGATAGGGTCCCAGATGGTACTGGAAACCGTGGAGTGGAGGCTCTGAGCAGTGAGACTGGATCTGGATTCTAGCCCCTTGTGGGCTGTGGGACTGGGATGCAGCTTCCTCACAGAGCCTCCCTAGAACTACCCATCTCTAAGTAGGTGGTCAATGACGGCATCTTCCACAGTAGGGCCAGTGATGGGTTGTGCCCCTGCCCCACTTGCCAAAGCTCTTCTCCCTCCCTGCCTTGCTCAGATCCCAAGGGCTCTTCCAGGCTTCCTCAATTAGAGTAACAGGACGCCTAGAGAGATTGGACTCTAAGAAGTACCCATCTAGGTGCTGTCCCCGTGCCTGGCCTCTAACATGGAGGGTGCTGAGCTGGGGGCCAAGTTCCAGATTGGAGTTGAGTTTCCTTGGGCCATACAGATGAAGAGCTGTGCCCTGTTGGGATTAAAATGGGAGGGGGGGTGTGTTGACATGGGACCCAGCAGCTGGGGCCCTTCACGATGGTAGTTATGGTCACTGTCTTCCTGCTGAGCCATGCAGGCCAAGGGACTCTGTGAGGGGCCACTCACAAGTGCCAAGACTTCACACTCATCACCTTGGGGGCTCCCCAGAACACCCCACCAGGAGTTTGTACCCTAGATGTCCCAGACCTGGCTGATGCTCCAAATCCATGCCTCTTCCTGTGGGGGCTCAATCCGCTCCCACCCCATCAGACCATCTTCCCACCCTCGTCCCACCCCCACTAGAGCATATTGCCGAGGACCTGCCTCTAAGCCGCTCAGTCACAGCAGCAGTGTGGGAGAAAGAGAGGCTGGCTGCCCTTAGCACCTCAGAGAGCTCAGACTTCCTGCACTGGCCCATGTGACCAGGCCTGGGAGAGGGGGCTGGGAATGGACACTGAGCTGGGAGGGAACAGTGGCAGAGGGTCCTCTTGGCCTGAAAGTGTTTTCAGCTCTTGATTTTTCACACCTTCCACCTGCCTGGCCCAGAGTGAAAGGAGCCTATATTGGACTGCCCCAGGCGCTCTGGACAGTTAAGGTAGCACTGGACAGTGGTCATCTCCCTGGGTCCATCTGTCTTCCTATCTCACTGCCCCCTGTCCTGCTTGGGGGTCTGGCCGGTGGATGGCCCTGCCTGGTGGAATGTGGATGACGCCTGAGAGGCTGCCAGCCTTATCTGGGGGTCTTCATACCATGGGGGAGGGGAGGGTGCAGGGCCTGATGCTGCTCTGGGGCCTGTTTAGTGTCTGGATGACAATCTAGGCTGGAGGGGGGAGGGCTTCTGAACACCTCCAGATGTGTGGGGGGTGCTCCTGCTCCAGTCTCTCCTCTTCCATCACATGTCCCAGCCATGAGCAGGGACTTGACTGTGGCATGGGGACTTTGAATTCTTCAACATTCCACAGGGAGGTACCATTCTCGTCCCCTTTTCAGGGTGGAAGGGAGACTCAGTAGGAGAAATAACTAGCCCAAAGTCTCAGAGCTAGTGGTTTTTGGAGTTGGGAATTGAACCCAAACTTATCAGTGAGAAGGCTGTCAGGTTAGACGAGGGGAGGAATGGAGGGAAGGGAGGGGGGTCAGCCCTCTGCGCTTGGCTTCCAAGCCAGTCATCACTCTCAACAGAGGGAACTCTAAGTGTGGAGCCCTCAGTGTGGCCAAGTCAGGTCAGTGAGCAGGTCTCAATAGTGCTCTGTCCCATGGGAGCTCAGCCAGGCACTGCTGGTGGCGGTGAGGCCAGCAGGCAGGACATGCAGGACTTCAGGGAGGGTGGGGGTGAGAGGGGTTGAGCCCACGTCCTGCCTTTGAAGTCACCCATCCCTTTCTGAGGTTGAGGTCGGACATCTCAGGTTTCACACAGGGATGGAGTTACCAGACCCCCAGCTGGAGAGGTAGGGGGCAGGGGAGCTGCCCCCGCCTTTGGGGCTGGTGCCCTCTCCCTCCCGGCTCTTGGGAGGGAAGCCCAGCAGAGCCCCTCCCCATGCAGCTGAAACCACTGAATCGAAAGCTATCAGAGCTAACTTGCCCTGTGACTTCAGCAAGTCTGAGGTCAGCCAGTCCTACTTTCCTGAGTCTCTATTTGCTTGCTTGTAAAATGGGCACATGACAGTCCCTGCCTTCTGGGGGGGTGCATTGCAGGGATGGGATGATAGTAATGGGACCACTTTCAGGGTATCAGTTCCACAACCCTGCTGTGGATCCAGGCACTGAGCTCCACAGAGTCTCCACAGACACCCTTTTAAAACTGTTCCCAGTTGTGGGTGTAGACAGCTATAGCTGTGTTGACCCAGCTTGTAGAGACCCTGGCCCTCCATGCATGCTCTTGAGTGTGGACAGACCCATATGGCTTTCTGGGGTCTGCAGCTGGGCTGAGGATGCGGGGAGGGGCCCAGCCAGTTTCCTCTTTCTGCAGGGACGGTGCCTTCAGAGACCCCAAGTGCCTGTGCCTCAGATCCGTGTGCTCCAGGGACCGAGTGCCAGGCTATGGAGAGTGGTGGCTATACCTGTGGGCCCACGGAGCCCCAGGGCTGTGCCACCCAGCCATGCCACCATGGCGCTCTGTGTGTGCCCCAGGGTCCAGATCCTAATGGCTTCCGCTGCTACTGCGTGCCTGGTTTCCAGGGCCCCCATTGTGAGCTGGACATCGATGAGTGTGCATCCCGGCCCTGCCACCATGGGGCCACCTGCCGCAACCTGGCTGATCGCTACGAGTGCCACTGCCCTCTCGGCTATGCAGGTAATGGCACTAGCTGCCCTGGGAGGTCTGGACTGTGGATCCCATCAGCAGCTTAGAGTACAAACAACCTGATTCAGCTGTGGCTTTAGTCCAGAGATGTGCCTGGTATGTATCAGACACTCAGCAAATCTTGATCTTGTCCCTTCTACAGAGCTGAGTTTCACTCTGCAGTTGGAGAGCCTCCCCCTGCCCCACACCAGGCATCCCTAGCAGAGCACAGCTGCCTAGTTTGGCTGTCATGAGGACACCTGGACAGCATTTCTAGCATTTTCTCATTGCAGACCTGTGTCAAGCTGTCGTGTAGACACTGTGTGACTCATCTGATGGTCCTAGTGTGAGAACACACCGGTGTGGCTCAGGATGCAATGTGGAACTCTGCCCCCTGGCTGTCCTCTACATTCTAGTAGAGAGACCTACTTGTGAGGGTTGTGTTCTGGTTGTGTTGTGGATGTGCCCTCTGGGATCCTTGCTGTATTGGGATGTCTACAAAAATGCTCAGGAAAGTGACTGGGGCTGTGGCTCAGTGGCAAAGTGCTTGCCTAACGTGTGCACCACTGAGTTCCTTCCAGTATCACACACACACACACACACACACACACGAAGTGGGGTTAGGCATGGCGCTTCGCTTGTGTAATCACAACTATTTGGGAGGTGTAGACAGGAGAATCTTGGTACAAGGTAGGCCTTGGGCAGCAAGTGTGAGACACCATTTGGAAAAATAAAGCCAAAAGGGCTGAGGGCATGGCTTAAATGGTAGACTACTTGCCTAGCATGCGTGAGCCCTGAGTTCAAACTCTAGTACTTGTCCCCTCCCCCCAAAAGTGACTGACATTGAGTAGACATAGTTACCTCCTCCAAACCATGGCCCATCCCATCCCAGCTGAGGCAAGAGCATGCTGGACCTTCTTCTTGGAGAGGCCTGAAGTCTGGAAGGAGGGCACAGCTGGGGACAGGTCTGCAGTGAAGCTCAGCCTTGGACAGTCTGGAGTACACAGTGTAGAGGCTCTGGTGTACTTGTCAACCATAAGTCAGGCAACTCTATCTGAGGTTGGAGGGAACTTTGAACTTATCCCAGAGGCAGGTGTGCAGAATGGGCATAGAGTGAAGAAATGGCTCCTGATGAAAATGGATTGAGACTGGGTCTGTGAAACTTTCCCCTTCTAAGACTGCTCAGCTTCTGGATGTCCTAGCTGTGTACATGAGAGTGAGTTACACCTGTCCAGTGTCTCCTGGTTTGGAGGTCTGTTTGCATCCCTAATAGGGCTTCTGTGCACCTGCCAGGATCCGTGTGTCTGTCTGTCTGAATGGTTGCTGAATGGTGAAATGTCCATGTGCAAGTGCCAGCCGGTGTGTGTGCACCAGAAGGTCAGGGCTCTGAGTAACTTTCCGGGTGAGTGGTGGATGTGAGCTGCACAGTGACTCATTTCTCCTTCCACCTCAGCTGGGCGGGGGAGGTTGGGATTCCAGGCGGCCTGGGCCTGGCTCCCCCTGGCACAGAGGGTGGGAGTGGGGCTAGAGGGTCATGGGAAGGAGGGGCCAAGTTTTGTGCTGACTGAGCAGGGAAGGGGAGAGGGTTCCAGCTGGAATCAGCTGGGCCCAGGGGCCCCATGACCAAACCCACTTAGGGGACAGGGGCAGGGTCCCTGGAGCTCCAGCATGAATCTCCACACCTGAGATTGTCCATTTCCCTCCCTTTCTACCCAGCAGTCAAGGTTTGCTCAGGACCACGGGGGTGTTGGGAACTTTAACTTTTAAAGCCAAGTCAGTGTAAGAGTTTGTCTCACTCTACTGTGTTCTGCCTGGGGCATTTGTTGGATGCCTTCCTTACACCTCCTCAAAGCTACCTCCTAGGATCTCAGCTGACACTCAGAGTTGCCTACAACTTTTAGGATGAGCTCAGAATCTCTCAGGCCCTGACACCCCCCACTCTTGCCTCACCTGCTCCACTCTCCCTCCTGTTCCAGATCATCCTCCCAGGGCATCCTGGGGCTGCTCGCTGGGTGCGACCAACAGCAGTCTCTTTATGGCATCTACCCACTCACTGGAGCCCACAATCCCCATCTCTTCTTTCTTCAAGCTTTCCTTGGCTCTTGCTTTCACCCAATACAATTTTTCCCCCTATGGTACTGGGGGTTGAATTCTGGGCCTCATATTTGCTAGGCTGGTGCTCTACCACTTGAGCCATTCGTCCAGCTCATTTTGCATTGGCTACTTTTGAGATAGGGTCTCACTTCTGCCATCCTCCTACTTGCGCTTCCCAGAGTAACTGGGATGACAGATGTGCACCATTGCGCCCCAGAGCCATTGAGAACTTTTTGCTCAGACTGGCTTGGAACCCTGATCCTCCAGATCTCCGCCTCTGGCGTAGCTAGGATTACAGGTGTGAGCTGCTGCACCCGGGCCGGATCCAGTTCTTTCCCTTGTTGAGCTTATTATTATTAAAAATCACTACTTATTTAAGTATTGACCAAGTTCCCATCTCCTGGCCTACACCGCTGTGAGCAACTCCAGGGCAGAGATGTCTTTCCTGTCAGCTGCCATCGATGTGCAAGCAATATCTACTCTGAATGAGTGACCCACCGGCGTCCCTCTTAGAGCCCCCTAGGTCGCTCGTGATAACTCTGGGTCGCTGGATCACCCTCTTTCGCCCCCTCTGGGTGTGCATCTCCCAGTCCCTGTGTCTCCGGCCCCTGTCCAGGAGTGACCTGCGAGGCTGAGGTGGACGAGTGCGCCTCGGCGCCCTGCCAGCACGCGGGCTCGTGCTTGGACGGCGTGGGTTCCTACCGCTGCGTGTGCGCGCCGGGCTACGCGGGTGCCAGCTGCCAGCTGAACCTCGACGAGTGCCAGAGCCAGCCGTGCGCACACGGGGGTGTGTGCCACGACCTAGTCAACGGGTGAGTGAGCGGCCCGGAGGGGCGTGCCCGTGGCGGGGAGGCCGCGCAGCGGGGCAGCGGGCTGGGGCGTGGGGGGTAGGTGGGGCGGGCGCGCGCTCAGGCCCGGCCGCGCTCGCCCCAGGTTCCGGTGCGACTGCGCAGATACAGGCTACGAGGGCGCGCGCTGCGAGCAGGAGGTGCTGGAGTGCGCGTCGGCGCCCTGCGCGCACAACGCGTCCTGCCTCGACGGCCTCGGGAGCTTCCGCTGCCTCTGCTGGCCAGGTGCGTGCGTGCGCGCGCGAGATCGGGCGCGCTCCTGGGGGCGGGGCCTGGGGCGGGGCAGGTGTGCAGCTGTGCGCATGCGCGAACGCTGTCTAGGCTCTCTGAGTGCCTTTGACCGCAACCTGTCTGAGCCTCAGTTTCCTGATCCGTACAATAGGGCTGATAATGGCACCTGTCGCTCGGGTTGCTGTGAGGGGATTGAAGGCACAGGGCCGGGCGCATGCGAAGTGCTCAGTAATACGAGTATTCATAGCATTATCCCGCGACTGCTGAAGGTCGCCATGCTCATGGTCAGTCCCACCTCCGCAACGGTCCCTCATTCACCGTTGGTGACTGTGTCCAGAGTTGTTGTCCCTGCCTGGCAATGGAGGGGACTGCCTGGTGACCTCGTGAGCCCTGATGTCCGCGTGTGCGCCCCTAGGCTTCAGCGGTGAGCGGTGCGAAGTGGACGAGGACGAGTGTGCGGCGAGTCCCTGTCACAACGGGGGCCAGTGCCTGCAGCGCTCCGACCCGGCCCTCTACGGGGGCGCCCAGGCTGCCTTCCCCGGGGCTTTCAGCTTCCACCACGCTGCAGGCTTCCTGTGCCGCTGCCCTCCAGGCTTTGAGGGTGAGCCCTGTTGGGGAAGCTGCAGCCAATGTCCACACTCCGGGGGAGGGATCCCCCGGCTAACCCAAACCTGGCCCTGCCCAGGATCTTGCGCCACCCTGCCTGAGTCCTGGCCTCACTGGGTCTTAGTCTCCCTAGCTATCAAAGGGACACTTTTAGCTTTGGTCTGGCTCTGAGGGTCAGGTGGGAGCCACAGCTGAGCCTCTTACAGGGGGCGACTGCAGCGTGGATGTGGACGAGTGCGCCTCAGGACCATGTCTCAATGGAGGCCGCTGCCAGGACCTGACCAATGGCTTCCAGTGCCACTGCCGGGATGGCTATGCAGGTGTGTGTGGAGACCCTGGGGACAGGACAAGGTCAGAGTGGATTGATGGGTGCAGGAGATGAGGAAGGAAGTGGGTGTAATTGTCCAGGAGACTGGTGAGGGACGCTGAGCTGGGATTTGGCTTTGGAATTGGGAGGATGCCACAGGTTGTCATGTGTGAGAGGGAGGTGTTGAGGGTGTCAAGGAGTTCCTGATTTGGGTTGCATTGGGTAAGGGACATGAGTTCAGTATTGTGCACACTTAGTGTCTCTGGAGTACACACTGGGAGGAGCTAGGGGCAGGCTGGTGATTCAGGAACTGGGGGCCAGGAGAGAGGCCTAAGCTGGAGCCAGAGATGGGGTCAGGATTGGCGTTCTGGCATCTGGGGCCACAGGCGGGCCAAGCTGTCTGGGAGAAGGTGCAGAGCAATGGGTGGAGAACCCGGGAACCCTGACATCAAAGGCTGGGTCAAGACTGAGGGACTTCCAGAGGGGACAGAGCTGTTCAATCAGGATAGAGAAGCTCCCCACCTTTCCTTTGGGGGAGCTGGGACCTACTGGGCAGGGGTTATGGGGTGTAGAACGTCTCTCCCTGCCTTGGGTCCAAGCAGATACAGACATGTGGCCATAGGTGAACCCAGGAGCGGTACACACACACCTTCTCTAGTGTCCCTGCCCCCTCTGGAATGCTTGTAACCTCCCCCTTACCACAGTATTCCTGCCTGCTTGCTGCCTCCTCTCCCTGCAGACTCCTGGGCAAAACCTCCCTCCCCCACAGGGAGGTGGTGATCACTGTCCTCTCTCTCACCTTCACTTGCCAAAGACGTTGGGGCCCAGTGCTCCCATCCCTGGGTGGCCCATGCCTCTGGGGGCCCTGAAAACCTGTCTACTGCTGCCATCCGCTGAGGTCCCCTGAGTCCTACCCCAGAAGTGTTGGCTGACTGCATTCTTGGTTTCTGAAAAGCTCTGTGTGCTTTATTATTCTCACCACAGCCCCAGGGAGTGGGGACTTAATACCCCCATCCTACAGATGTAGCAGTGGAGGCTTAGGATCACCGGTGTCAATGATAATTCAGCTCCTTCCAGTTGAACTTAGCTGATGGAGGGTGTGGCGGTGGGGGAGGGGTGTTCAGATCTCTGAGGTCAGAGCCTAGGCGGGGAACCATGGCTGTGGGGCTGGGCTCTGTGTCCAGCCTCCCTTTGGGCAGCTCTGGATGTGGAGGAGGCCAGTGCCTGGCATTCCTGAGCCAGCTGAGGAGGAGGCAGTAGCCCCGGCTCTGCTCCTAGCTTTGGTGCCTGCCACCACTGCTTGCCATCTGTGGGGAAAACATGGGGCTGGGGGAGCTGTGCCCCTTCATGGGGGGCCTGTGGCTCCTGGCAGGTAGGAGGACAGAGGCCTGGGGCTGGGGGAGGTTGGGCAGGTGGCTGGTGATTTCCAGGAGGCAACTCTGGTGTTTGTGGGCTGACTGGGGCCTGGCTTCAAGTCCTGGTGGCTTCAGGTCTCTGGGCCTGAGCTCCCGCAGCTGGGGGGTGGGGCAGGTTCGTTTTGTTGAGGCTCTGGCTGAGCCAGGGTTGCACTGTGGTCTCTACATCCATGCTGGGACCGCTGCACCTGGGGGAAGGCCAGGAGGATGAAGTGGTCCCTTCACAGCCAGTGTGGGAGTTCTAGGGCAGAGGGATTGAGGGGTGGAGCCTGGGGTCTGCTCAGTGTACTCAGATGTGTAATCCACCCCACTCTTCCATTTCATCATGGCAGGTCACACTGCAGACATGTTCATGCCCCTGAAGGATGTCGCAGCTGAGTTAACAGATACTTTCAAGGAGTGGGGAGAGCCATAGTAGTTTTGGTTGGGTCAAGGAAAGCTCCCCAGCCCTCTGAGTTGGGCTTTGCCAGATGAGTAGGAGTTTGGAAGCCAGAGTAAGGCAGGATGAGGCATTCCAAGCAGGAGGAACAGAGGTTCCAGCAGCTGGAAATAGTTGGAGGAATGGGACAGACGCTCAAGGCTGTTAGACAGCAGGCCCGAGGCTTGACAGCCTGAGAGAGCCAAGCCCATGAGGGGATCTTGAGTGGCAGGCTGAGTGGTGATCACCCTGGCCAGGTGATGCCTGGGAAACAGATCTTTGGTCACTGTGGAAACAGACTTCTGAAGACAGGTAACCTGGAGGCTGCTGGCTGTGGCCTAGAGAGCTGGCAAGATGGAAGGTGTGGGGAGGAAAGGGGGACTGGAGGGTGTTTTGGGGATCACCAGTGGAGACTCACCAGTCATGGGGCAGCTTGGACTCTGCCTCCAGGGGACTTTTGGGGACTGGGAGGAATCCTTAAGGGGGTGTGTTGGTACCGAGGTCCCCGTCACAAAAGGTACAGAGTCATGGCTTTGGCCTGGCCACTATTGAGCTTTGGCCTGGTCTCTCCTGAAGGCCTGGCATGTCAGGAAGATGTGGACGAGTGTCTGTCGGAGCCCTGCCTGCATGGTGGAACCTGTGAAGACACTGTGGCGGGCTACATCTGCCGGTGCCCACAGGCCTGGGGTGGACATGACTGTTCTGTGCAGCTCACTGGTTGCCACGGCCACACCTGCCCACTGGCTGCCACCTGCATCCCCATCTTCAAGTCTGGGCTCCACAGTTATGCCTGCCACTGTCCACCGGGTACCCATGGACCTTCCTGTGGCCAGAATACCACCTTGTCTGTTGTGGCTGGGAGCCCTGTGGGGACATCAGTGCCAGCTGGTGACCCCTTGGGTTTGGCACTGAGGTTTCGTACCACCCTGCCTGCTGGGGCCCTGGCCACTCGCACTGACACCCAGGATAGCTTGGAGCTGGCATTGATGGGGGCCACACTCCAAGCCACACTCTGGAGCCATGGTACCACTACATGTGTCCTGAGACTGCCGTACTTAGCCCTAAATGATGGCTACTGGCACCAGGTAGAGGTGGCACTTCACCTAGGGACTCTAGAACTGCGACTCTGGCATGAGGACTGCCCTGCTCAGCTCTGTGTGGCTTCTGGTCCTGTGATCCCAGGTCCCACTGCTTCAGTGACCCCTGGGCCTGGCAGGCTCTGCTCTGTCCAGCTGGGTGGCTCAGACTTTGCAGGCTGTCTCCAGGATGTGCATGTGGATGGACACCTTCTGCTCCCAGAGCAGCTTAGCGACAAGGTCCTCCTGGGCTGCGAGCGCCATGAGCAGTGCCAGCCCTCACCCTGTGCCCATGGAGGGGCCTGTGTGGACTTGTGGACTCACTTCCATTGTGACTGCCCCCGGCCTCACAGCGGCCCTACATGTGCTAATGGTAAGGGACAGGCAGCAGGGGAGGCAGCACTGGAAACCCTGGGTCTCTAGCCTGCTCACCTCATGCCCGGCACCATCTCTCCCTGCAGAGGTTCCTGCTGCCACCTTTGGCTTGGGGGGCACCCTGAGCTCTGCCTCCTTTCTGTTACATGAGCTGCCGGGCCCCAACCTCACGGTGTCCTTTCTCCTCCGCACTCGGGAGTCCGCTGGCCTGCTCCTCCAGTTTGGGAACGACTCAGCAGCCAGCCTGACGGTCTTCCTAAGTGAGGGCCAGATCCGGGCTACCATGCCAGGTGGTCCTGCTGTGGTGCTCCCTGGGCGCTGGGATGATGGGCTCCGCCACCTGGTGACGCTCAGCTTTGGGCCTGAGCAGCTGCAGGACCTGGGGCAGCAGGTGCATGTGGGTGGGAGACTCCCCCCTGCCGACACCCAGCCCTGGGGTGGGCCCCTCCGAGGCTGTCTCCAGGACCTGCGACTCAATGGCCTCCACCTTCATTTCTTTCCGCTGCTGACTGAGAACGCAAGTCAGCTCCACAAGCCCCGCAAGCTGGATGCCGGCCAGTCCCACAACCTCACCCAGGGCTGCGTCTCTGAGGACATGTGCAGCGTGAGTGCACGTGAGCGGGTCCTCCCCCCGATCTGCCCTGTGTCACTGGGGGACGAATCAGAGTCAGGAGGTGATGTCACCTGCCCGAGGCCTTTCTGCGGGAGTTGCTGGGGGTTGGGGAAGAGACTCAAAGCACAGCTCTGGAATTGGAATCACCTGGGTATGAACTGGCCTTTCTTTATTGCTGGGTGACTCAGGCAGGTGGCTTCACCTCTCTGAATCTCATTCCTGATCCGTAAGATGGGGACGATGGGGACTTTCCCCCTGCTTGTGAGGAGGTTGCAATGCAAGTCTGTGGCAGAGGCTCAGTGAAGTGCTGGTTAAGGGGGTGATGCTCGCAGCAGGCCTGAGCCAGCCACTGCCTGATTCTCACACAGCCAGATCCCTGTTTCAATGGTGGGACCTGCCTTGTCACCTGGAATGACTTCCACTGTACCTGCCCTGACAACTTCACCGGGCCCACCTGTGCCCAGCAGCTATGGTGTCCCGGCCAGCCCTGCCTCCCACCTGCCACCTGTGAAGAGGTCCCTGATGGTTTCGTCTGTGAGTGCATGCCCTGGGCAGCCCAAGTGCTGGGCACTGGAAACTCAAGCTGGTTAGGTTCCTTTGGCCTTATGGAATGCTGGACTGTGAACCAGGAATTCCAACAGCCCTAGCCCAGTGTGGGGACCATTGCATCTGGAGGGACAGAGGCTTTCTGGAGAAGGCGAGCATTTGCTGTGTTTTCCAGAGCAAACTCCAAGGCACCAGAGGAAAGGAAGAGGCAATAGCATGTGCAAAGGCCCTGAGTTCAATAAGAAAAGCTGAAACACGTACAGAAGGGGTTTAGCAGGAAATGGGTGGAGAAGTTGGCAGGGGATTTGAATTCCAGCCAAGGGCAGTGGGGAGCCATGGAGGGTTTAAGCACGAGGACATAATCAGAACTACACTTTAAAAGGATGGCTGACTGCAGTGAAGCGCAGTCCTCCGTGATGAGCCACAGGAGCTTCAGGGAGGAGGGAAGGGGGCAGTTTTGGAGAGGTTAATATCTCGGGGCCTGTGACCCCGGAAGGAAATATTGTGATCCCCCCCCAGTATTGCCCCAGAACTGATTCCCTGGAGGTGGGGAATGTGTGGGGGTGGCAAAGCGTGGTGGGGAGCACAGTTTGGGGATTAAGTGATGACTCTCTCTCTCTGACTCTCTCACTCTCTCCCCAGGTGTGGCTGAGGTCACGTTCCGCGAGGGTCCCCCAGCTGCGTTCAGTGGACACAACGCGTCGTCGGGAAGGTCACTGAGCGGGCTGTCGCTGGCCTTCCGCACCCGCGACTTGGAGGCCGGGCTACTGCGCGCCGCGGCGGGCAACGCGGGCGTCTGGCTGGCCGTTCGCAATGGCTCGCTGGCGGCCAGCGTGCGCAGCGGCCCCGGCGTGGCGGGTGCTGTGCTGCCCGCGCCCGGGCCACGCGTGGCCGATGGCGCCTGGCACCGCCTGCGCCTGGCCATGGAGCACCCGGCGGCCGCCGCCTCGCGCTGGCTGCTGTGGCTGGACGGCGCGGCGACACCGGTGACGCTGCGCGGCCTGGCCGGCAACCTGGGCTTTCTGCAGGGCCCGGTCGCCACGCGCATCCTGCTGGCCGAGAACTTCACAGGCTGCCTGGGCCGCGTGGCGCTCGGCGGCCTCCCGTTGCCCCTGGCGCGGCCACGGCCCGGCGCGACTCCGGGCCCCCGACAGCACTTCGTCGCCTGGCCCGCGACACCCGCCCCGCGCCTCGGCTGCGCCGGCGCGCCAGTGTGTGCGCCCTCGCCCTGCCTGCACGGCGCCGCCTGCCGCGACCTCTTCGACGCCTTCGCCTGCGCCTGCGGCCCAGGCTGGGAAGGACCGCGTTGCGAGGCCCGCGCCGATCCGTGTCGCTCCGCGCCCTGCGCCCGCGGCCGCTGTCACGCGCGCCCTGACGGCCGCTTTGAGTGCCGCTGCCCGCCGGGCTTCGCGGGCCCGCGCTGCAGGTGCGGGCGACTGGGGACCCGGGCAATGACCCCAGTGGTTGGTTGTCCAAGGATGGGGCGTGGAAGGAGACCCCCATGGTGAGGGTTGGGGTAGGGTAGACTCTAAGCCGCCTGCAGTTTGCTGCTTTTAGGGGCGAGTCGCCTCAGTTTGCTGAGCCTTGGTGCCCTCATCTGAGAAATGGGGGCATCCGTTAAGTTTGTTAACACTTAAAGTACAGAACACTTAAAGTCCAGCTAAATTTGCATTTCAGATAACACTGTGGTGTGGGGGGAGGGTGTGTGTGTGTGTGCCAGAGCTAGTCTTGCAAGATGACCTTGAGGCTTTGCAGGGAGCCACACAGTGTGATGTTCACCCCCACAATCCCCTGGTGAGGGGCAGAGGGAGGCTCAGTCTTTGCTGCTTCCTGAACTCAGCTGCACTCTAACTCTGTCCACTTGTTCAGGCCGAGCTCCTGGAGGGCTGGTTGCCTAGCATCTTTCCTTGCACGGAGTGTTAGTGTTGAGGCATGGGAACTGCTTTTGTCTGGTCCTATCTCCCCGTCCCCTAGTCCTTCCATTTCACTGCTTCTCAAAAGCCTCAGGTCCAGGAAAGGTTCCTGCTCTGTTGGGTAGGGCCAGAGCAGCTCTGTGCCCATCCCTCCCTCCCAGACACTGCTTCCTTGACTCTTACGGAGGTCTGTAGGAGGTGGGCCATGAATTCCAAAGGGAGCAAGAGGCTTGTTCTGTGGCCTGCTGACTCAGGGTTGGGGTGGGCCAGGTCCCAGCAGTGTGTCTTGCCCTGTCCAGCCTTGCGCTCTCCCCCTAGGTTGCCTGTGTTGCCTGAGTGCAGCCTCAACTCCACCTGCCCATGTGAGGTGGGGCCCCAGGGTACCAACTGCAGCTGCCAGGAGGCCTTCTCTGGCCAGAGGTGAGTGTGGGGGCCTGGGGGCTGGGAGGTGGACTGGTGAATGTGGAGAGCTGGTTATGGTGGCCAGGGGTCCGCTTCATCTAGAGGAAGGGAAGTGGGGATCCTTTCATTGTCTCAGCCCTCACTGGTGTCACAGTGCCAGACAGCTCACCACTGGTTCTTTTGTGGCTTTTAAAACCACCCTCTGTTATGCCTACACCTGCTGGGCAGTAGTTGCCCTGCTCTGTTTCTTATAGCTGGATCAGTCCTTAGTCCCCTGTGTCAGGACTTGGTGAAAGTACAGCTTCTGGGCCTCTAGGTTGTGGTGTCAGTGTCCCTGGGCTCTGCCCTGCTATATCCTCCCCATAGCATTCTCAGTCATGGTGCTGGGCCGGGAGGTGCAGGTGATGGAAATCACTTTCAGCTTTGGTCACCTGGCAGGGCTGAGCCAGGCAGGAACAGTGCTTAGGGGCAGTGAACAGATGAGCCTTGATGCTTGGGTGGGGGTGTGGGGGCGCTAGAGCATTGGGGGAATGGGAGGCAGTCATGGGGGTAGCGCTTTCTTGGCTTCTCCATCTCCAGGTGTCAGAGCCCAGCCTTGCCCTGTGAAGCCAACCCCTGCTTGAATGGAGGTACCTGCCAGGCTGCCGGTGGGGTGTCTGTTTGCACCTGTGGCGCAGGCTTCTCTGGCCAGTTCTGTGAAGTGGTGGTGAGTGATGCCCAGGGGTGGGCTACAGGGTGGAGGAGTGTGTACGGCCCCCAAAGAGCTATTCCTGGGCCGCTTCTATCATGGATGGGAGGTAGCAGGGGAGGAGACTCAGGGCCCTTCCATGCCCGCCCTGGAGGTATTCTCACTGTAGGGAGAGCTCAGGGCCCACCATCACAGGGAGGGCACAAGGCTCCTGGCTAGGTGTGGCACCGGGGCTTCCCTGTAGTGCCCAGGAGAGCAGCAGAGGGGACAAATGGGGTCAGCCAAGTCCACTCTGGGACCAGGATTCAGGTCCTATAGGGTCTTGGAGCCTACAATCTTGGGGGTAGTTGGGAGGGTTCCTGAGTCAGGACAGTTTACCACTGCAGATGTGTCTGACCCCAGGAGGACCTGGATGGAGGGGCCAGTCCCCCAGCCCAGGGGTGGAGCAGGTCCTGTCCCTGGAAGGGCAGGATGCTGGTCTCAAGACTGCACCAGTGTCTGGGGAGCAGTCTTGATCTGCACAGGCTTCTGGCAGGCTGGGTTGTAAAGCACAAATCCCTTGGCTACTGGAGAATGTTTCCTTTCAAGTTGGACTTTTACAGCCTCTGGCTTCCTCACCTACCACTGTCCTCCCAGGCCCGGAGGAAGTGGCTTTACAGCTTCCTCAGAAGTGCACAGTGGGGGCCAACTGCCCAGCCCACTGAGGCTTGGGGAGCTTTATAGCTTTGGGACCCCTTCTGCAGGTGGGGGGGGGTGGGTTGGGGGATCCAGGGTGCAAGGTACGGAGGGAAGGCAGGTGTTGTGAGCTCTGGACCCCTGGGGTCCTGTGATTGCAGAATTCCAGGCACGCAGAATCTTTGACAGGGCTTCTGGAGACAGGAGTAGGCTTGCTGGGTCCCTCAAAACCTGGCCCGTGTCTCCCCAGGGCAAGCTGTCAGAGCAGTCATCTCAAGCAGGCTGGCCCAGGTGGGTTCTGCTCTTGCCATGGGCAGTGCTCAGCCTGTCTCACTTCTGCTCCTTTCCCCTGATGAAGGGTTACGTGAAATCCTGTTCACAGTGCTTACCTCGTACCAGGCATTCCATGGATGTCTGTTTTCTATCCTTCCAGCCAGAACCCCTAGTTGACCAGGACTTCCTGTGCAGGGGCGTGGATGGGTGGCTTCCTGGCTCCAGCCGGCATGCCCTGGGGCCAGGTCTCTAACTGCCTCTCAGGAATCCTGGCCCCAGCTTGGATTCTCTCTGAGTCCTCCTGTTCTCTTTTTTCACCTTGCAGAAGGGCCTGCCCATGCCACTGCCATTCCCGCTGCTGGAGGTGGCTGTGCCTGCAGCCTGTGCCTGTCTCCTCCTCCTCCTCCTTGGGTTCTTGTCCGGGATCTTGGCAGCCAGAAAGCGCCGCCAGTCAGAGGGCACCTACAGCCCAAGCCAGCAGGAGGTGGCTGGGGCCCGGCTGGAGATGGACAGTGTCCTCAAGGTGCCACCTGAGGAGAGACTTATCTAGGCCAACCTGGCTGCTGGTGCCATGCCCTGGAGGCCCTACAGGATGTCTACCTGGAGACCCAAGGAGATTGCTTTCAGGGCCCACTGGGAGTATCCCATGGATGGCAGCCCCTGCCTCTGTCCCATCGTGGACTGAGAAGGGAGTCAACTCAGGAAAGCAGAGAGGGAACCTCTCTGACCTGCTGGGCTTTGTTGTGGCAGGTGTGTGGCTATGTGTGGGCAGACAGGCATGGTGCACGTGGTGTGTCAGTAGAGCATGCGTGTACGTGCAGACGTGGTGCTCTGTAGATCCCAGCTGAGTTTTCTGACAGGGCTCACTCACGTGGCTCCTCTTTTTATTGCGTGTACATGACTGTCTAGTGGGGGCAGATGGATGCTCCATGGTTGGGGACCACATGTCCATTCTGGGACAGGGGCAGCCCAAGGCTGCATGTTTTCCAGCAGGCCAGGCCAGAGCTTGCCCAAGCACCTAGACTTCAGTTCTGGCACCTTCTGAAACCTCCAAGGGCGGCCCCTGCTTTGGAGACAGCTGAGAAATGATGAGTGGTGTTCTCATCAGGCCAAGTGGACTTCTGCTCCTTTGGGCAGATCTGTCTCTGCCCAGTACCAGAGCTGGTCCTGCAAGGGAACCCCATAACCCTGGACACCAGGCCTGCAGGAGCCGAGGACTAGCTGCCTGAGCTTTCCTGCCTGGCCATGGTCATTTGCAGGTGGGAAAGCCTCCCTGCCTACCTCACAGGACTGCTGTGTGACTCAGAGAAGCTGACAATGGGCAGAGGACTCTGGGAGTCATTCAACTCCAGTCTGAAGTGAATTGTGGGTGTCCTTTTAGGTGTTTGGAAGCATTGTCTCCCCAGGCCTACGCCCAGGAGGGCTTCCTGTGGCCCCCGCAAGGAGGCCAGAAGGGAAGGAAGATGAAGGAGCAGTCCTCCCCCTCCCCAGCCCCCACAAACTCACCTGACCACCTGCCAGTTCTCCAGCTTTGCATGTGGTCACCTGCACATGGCTTGTTTCAGCGAAAGCACACCAGGGAAGCCCTCAGGTCCTTTGCCTCCTTGACCTCTCTGTGGGAGGCTGGTCCTGCAGAGGTCTACTGCAGCCTGCCGATGCTGTGCCCTTGAGTCCCAGAGGGCATCTAAGGACCTGTCCTCCTTTTTGACCTGGGGATGTGACCTCTCCTTCTGGTTTCCTAGGCCAGCAGAGCCTTGTACATGTTGCAGCTGGAGGCTGACTTTCCCTGGCTCCCTTGTGGTTTCAGCCACCTCTAGAAGGCACAGAATTAGGGGCACTGGAGGTTCAGCAGAGGCTGGGATGGGGGTCCCTGAATGCTAGTCTAAGGGGCCTACTTGGTCCTTGTCCTGCAGGAGGTGGGACTGCCTTGCCCCCAACTTTCTTCCCCAACCCCTGGGAGAAGGGGAGCAAGCTGGCTCCTCAGCTACATTCTGAAGTCAGGGATTTGGTGTGTGAGCTGCAGACTGTTAAGATATTTTCTGTGGCGCTCTGGCTTATAAATCCAATTTAGCTTTGGTGACATTGGGTGACTACTCTAGATCTCCCCTCCAAACATGATCGCCCAGCTGGGGTGCAGTCCAGTCTGGGGCTCTGCCCTTGCTGATGACATCTTTGGATTGGCCAGGTGTCCTCTGGAACTTGTTCTTTCTTGGAGCATGGGTGCCCTGGCCCTGAAGTCCCGCTCTGTGGTTCCAGCAGGGCTGTGCAGACCTGTTACCAGCCTAGTCTCCATGACCTGCTTATGAGGGAAAGGGGAGCTGGCTCAGAGCTCCCTGTGGGCACAGGCCTGGGGAGTCTAAGGGGCTACTTGGTCCTTGTCCTGCAGGAGGTGGGACTGCCTTGCCCCAACTTTCTTCCCCAACCCCTGGGAGAAGGGAGCAAGCTGGCTCCTCAGCTACATTCTGAAGTCAGGATTTGGTGTGTGAGCTGCAGACTGTTAAGATATTTCTGTGGCGCTCTGCTATAAATCCAATTTAGCTTTGGTGACATTGGGTGACTACTCTAGATCTCCCCTCCAAACATGATCCCCAGCTGGGGTGCAGTCCAGTCTGGGCTCTGCCCTTGCTGATGACATCTTTGGATTGGCCAGTGTCCTCTGAACTTGTTCTTTCTTGGAGCATGGGTGCCCTGGCCCTGAAGTCCCGCTCTGTGGTTCCAGCAGGGCTGTGCAGACCTGTTACCAGCCTAGTCTCCATGACCTGCTTATGAGGGAAAGGGGAGCTGGCTCAGAGCTCCCTGTGGGCACAGGCCTGGGGATGGGCAGGGGTTGGGCCCTTCCTGCTTGGCCTCCACCTTGGCTGGGGCTGGGCTAGGGCTCACGTCAAGATGGGTGGGGAAGATGGCCAAGGGCCCACTCCTCCAGGCTCCCTGAAGGACACAAGGATGCCATCCTCTTCCCCAAGAAGGTTTTATTGAATGCACACACGAAGTTCATCCTTGGGTTTGCAAATTCCCCCCAGTGAAGGACGAGACAGAGGTACAGATGGGGACCTGGAGTGCTCCCCACCAGTCTCCAGTAGAGCCAGGGAGGTTGTGGCTTCCTTGGCTGCCCAGCATGCCCTGCCCCGCCGGGGGCCACCCTGTCCTGATGAGACGTCTGCTCAGGAGGGGAGAAGAACTGGAACCTGTGTTGAACATCGGCGTGCCCAGGAGGGGCCTGTGTGGCCCGTGTGCGACATGGCTCCCAGCGACCAAGGACACTTGCAAGATGGGAGAGGCTTGCTCCAGGGTCTCAGGTGACAGAGAGAAAGGTTGTGAGGCAGGTACCCAGGTCTCTCAGACTGATGAGCAGTGGCAGTGGCCTCCCATCCTCTCAGACATTGAGGGGCTCCCTGGAGTGACAGGGACCTCCAGGGACCTCTTGTTCCTGTCTGACACCTGTGGGTAGACTGTGTCTGACCCGTTCACAAATAGGAAATGAGAAATCAGGTCAAAATGCTCACAATTTCCTGTGTGTCTCAGATGTTGTTTTCTTAAATGGTCAGGCTGCATTTTAACGTTTATTGAAAGGAGTCAATTTTCAAGATTCATCAAATCAATAAGGTAAAAAGGAAAAGATAAAAGAAACAATAACAAAACATTTCAGTTTCACTTTGGTGACATTGCTCTCTGGCATTTCTGTGCTGGCGAAGCTCCAGATGGGGAGGACTGGCTGCTAGGCCTCCTCCTGCCCCAGGCTGAGAGGCCATGTGCGTCCACTCCTGGGGGGTCCTGGCCTGCTCCTGGCCACTGGGCAGCTGTGCCCTGCCCCACATCGGTCTATGGGTCTGTGGCATTAAGCTTGGCCTTTGAGTTGGAATCTGGGATGCTGCTGCTCAGCTCTGCCTACCACGCTAAGTACAGAAGGCTGGGGGTCCCAGCTTTTGACTGTGATGGGCCCAGGAGAGCTGGGAGCTATCTGGGTAACAGAGAGCTGGGGACTCCTGACACTCAGACCTGGGGTTTCTCCTTTTCTTCTACTAATAAGAGTTGCTGGTGCTCCCAGCC